GATACCCGGCATGTCGGAGTGGGTCTAGGCAAATACGTGGTTGTGTTCAATCAGGAGGGCAGTAAGGTCGGCCTTGGCCTGGGAGGATAGTTGGCTGCCGATCTTGGCTGTTTTTGCCGGGTTGGTAGGATCGATGGGGACCTCGACAAGCTCTTCCACTGGTTCCCCTTTAACCAGCTCATCCTCGTCCCTAACGTCGAGCCCTTCAATGATCATAGCCTTCTTTAGCTTGACCTCTTTAAGTGAAGCGATGTAACATTCCCTGGCCATGGTCTGCTCGCCCCTCACTGTGCCGACCCCAAGGTCGGTGGGGAATTTGACGGCAAGATGGAAAGTGGACGTGATGGCTTGGAAAGCATTTAGTGCGGTGCGGCCGAGAATGATGTTGTAAGCAGAGGGATAGTCGACGACCAGGAAGGTGAGCAACTTGGTGATCTGTCTTGGGTATTCTCCGATTGTGATGGGAAGATCGATGGACCCGATGGAGGTCACCCGATCTCCAGTAAAACTGACCAATGGGATTTGGAGAGGGGACAGACTTTCTTTCTCGATCTTGAGCTGGCGGAAGACATTTAGGAAGATGATGTTTGAAGAATTGCCGTTGTCGACGAGAACCCGTCTAACTTTGTAATTGGAGAGGTGGGCAGAAATGACGAGATGGTCGTCATGGGGGTAACGGATGCCTGTGCAGTCGGCGTCCATAAAGGTGATATGCTTCGTCCACTGCTTGGGTTGTTTGGAGGGTCGGTCCAATGTGGCAACTTCTTTGTCTGAGCCTTGCCTTATTTTCCCGAGTTCTGCCCGCTGAGCCGAGCGGGATGGTCCTCCACAAGTAAGCCCGCCAACAATAACTCTGATTTCTCTAACCGGGAGGCTAGGGTTGCCTTGCGCCCGGGGTTGCTATGGGGGCCAATCATGGCCTGGGTTAGGTTGTGCGGGTTGTCGAGGAGGGGTGTGTCGATGGTTGTCTCGGGTAGGTTCAGTCCTTTGCCTTTGCTGAGAGCGGGTTGCCGTGAATCGACTGAGACGCCCCTAGCATATCAAGCCCTCGACCTGGTCTTTTAGGTTAACACACTCCTCGGTATTATGGCTGTGGTCCTGATGGAAACAGCAATATTTGGATTGGTCTCGTCGGTTGGAAAGAAACCACGACAATTGGGGCCATTTTAAGGGGTAATCTCGTTGGATCTGGTTCAAGACTTGTTCCATGGGGGAATTGAGGGGTGAGTATTGTTCGAACTGGCCGGGCGGTCGGGTAGGCGCCGGTCGGTTGGCTCGAGCTGGTCGGTCGGTATATTGAGGCGTTTACTGTGTGTACTGGGTGTTTTTGGTTTTAGAGTCCTTTCACTTCTCTCTGGAGATCGGGTTTTTGGCTGTGGAGTCTTGTCGGGCGGCTAGGGAATCTTCGGCGTTTATGTACTTTTGGGCTTTAGAGAGGAGGGTTACCATGGAGGTTGGGGGATTTTTGGAGAGAGAGAAGAGGAAATCGGAGGATCGTAGACCAGCTATGAAAGCCGTGAGAATGACCTTGTCGTCATTTTCTGCCACCTACAAGGCTTCGTTGTTGAAGCAGGTGACGAAGCTGCGCAGTGACTCCCCCTCCGTCTGTCGGATGTTGAGGAGTTGAGTCGCTAGACGCCGCTGGCGCCGGACACCAATGAAGTGGCTAAGAAAGAAGTCGCTCAGGTGTTGGAAAGTAGAGACAGAGTCTGTTGGCAGTTGACTAAACCAGAGTCGAGCTGACCCCTTAAGCATTACGGGGAAGTCCTGACACATGATCTCGTTGGGGAATGCATGGAGGACTATAAGGGTCCTGTAAGTTTCCAAATGGTCGACTGGATCCGTTGTACCATCAAAAGAGTCGATCGAGGGCATTTTGAACTTGGGGGGTAGGGGTTTGTCCTTGATGGAGACAACGAACGGTAAGTTAGTTGTGGTAGAGGGTTTATTCTGTATGTTCTGCATGACTCCTTGAAGCTGGAGTTTCATAGCTCGGAGTTCTGCATCCCAGAGAGGGACGTTGTCACCGCCAGAATGCAACGGAGGCTGGACACTACTGGTCTCTCCCTCGGGGGCAGGTGCTTGGAATGATAGATGTGGGGCTCGGGGTGGCGGGTTCATTTCTGGTGGAAGGGGTCGTAAGCCTTCCAAGTTGGATAGGTGGGACTGTTAGATAGGATGGCTCGGGGCTCGTTCTTAGTTGGGTGGGATATCTGGAGGTGGTGGAGGAGGTATAAGAAGGTTTCTTTGAAGTAGAGCATTAATCAGGGCTTGGTTTTGTTCGGCTAGGCGGTTAATGTTGTTGGTGAGCTCGGTGAAATACTGCGGTGGGTTGTTTGGGTTAGGGGGGTCGGCTTGGAGATCGACAACGTTGTATTGAGAAGCCATGAATCTAGTTGTGACCATCCATCTTTACGGGTGGCAGGTAGGGATTATCGGGAGTGGGTCTCCGGCGACAATGAGCATAGTTGCCGTACAAAGCAAAAAGGTTTCCCACAGACGGCGCCAACTGATGTTACTTTCGTTATCGGATACCCCAAACGGAATGGGTCTGGATGATCCATGCTTCTCAAGCCGCTTTCCGAGGGATGAACCTGCAGAGAATACCTACAAAAGAGTTCAACGGGGAATGGGGAGTCCCCCAACGAACCCTCCGACGAGCAAATTAGAAAGGTGAAGGTGATCAAAAGTGAAGGAAAGAGATGGAGATAGATTAGTGATAGAGAAGCTTAACCTTTTTTTTGTCTTAGGAGCCTGCTTATATCCATTGCTCATCATTTCCTTGTCCACTCCGAGCCATCATGTTGGCCGAAAGTCTATACTCTAGCTTGCCTTGTTCATGATGAGGCTCTTCTGTTCCGACGTGAGGGGTTATCGTAATAAATGCTGTAGGAAGGCTCATTAATTGCTGATGTGTGGTACAATAATTTTGCAGGATCTTTGTCTGCTAATGTGGCTGGTTCTGCACTTGCCAGGTGTCTGGATGCCATTGGTCCTTAATCCCACGTTGAGGTCCAACAATGTTGAGCTTTAATGTTTGAATTATGTATTGGGCTCTAAGTGATGGGCCAAACGCTCCAATAGGCCTACCTATGTCAACAAGTTTTCAATCAACAAACTTTGAAACAGAAAATATCAAATATATATGTATATGTTATTTGGAGATTTACATATCAGTGGTAAGAAGAAAAAAAAAAATTATAAATATTAATAATTAAAACCATATATTTTTCATTTTTTTTGTATACATCCCACTGGGGTGTAATTCTCCGATGTTATTTAGATTCATTTCAATCATATGAATTTTTAATATCTGAGATTACCAACAAGATTTTGATAGAAACAATTACAAAGAAGAATTAGTCAAGAAGTCGATCACTCTTCTCTGAATTTTATTAAAGATTTTGTTAAAGATTTTTAAGGATATTCGTCAAAAAAACTAAAAAATTTATACATTTTTTATAAATAAAAAATTTGGGTAATTAAAAGGACATTATGTCGTACGTCCATTTCTTCATCTTTTGGGCCATTAGGCCAAATCTCTAATCTCTTTAAACCAAAAGGACACAAATTGTCTGTTGAAATCAATCTATTTATCTATTTCTTGAAATCACCTTATCTCTTGAAATCACTTAATTTGTCTATTTGTTAAAATTCACCTAACCTATTTTTCTATTTATTAAAATTCACCAAACTATCTATTTGTTGAAATATGACACATGTCACTCATTCAATACTCTATCTGTTGAATATCATATATTTCTCTATCTCATTACCACCACTTGTTGCACCCACCATAGGCGACTTTTCTGGCCAATTTTCCAGTACCGATGAAATTTTCCGGTGACTTTTTTCAGTATGTCCTTATCACCAAATAAAATTTTACCTTAGATCTAATACCTTATACTCTCTTTAAATTATAATTTTTACTAATTTTCTCTCTCTCAAAAAAAAAAAAAAAATCATTTTAAGCTTTGTTAGTCAATATGTTTAGGTCAGAAGACCTTCTCAATGACCCTCCAAAATTGAATAGCCTAAAGATTTGATCTGAATTTATGAGCAACCCTCATTCTAGTAAGAAACAACCACCGCTAAAGGCAATTTCTTTCTAGCCAAACTAAGCACAAATAAAATCAAGAAGTTAATTAACAAAAATAACAATTTGAGTTTAGTTCAAATATAAATACTAGAAACCTAAATAAATGCGTCCAAATAAACAGCAACAAAAATGAAAGTAAAGTATTTTTTTATTTTATTTTTAAATAGAGCTTATCTAACAGAGAAAATTTATAAATTAGATAGACTTGTTTTGGCAATTTCTAAAATAGTCAAAAAGTCATTAAAAAAAAAAGGGAGCTGTTAAGATGTGCACCTCAATAAGATGTGCACATCATATACACATTTATTTTAAGCCATTAGATTTTTACAAATGAATCTCAACCACTGAATAATTTGATTAGGATTATTGGCAACCCCTTCAACCGGTTACTTTTTTTTTCAAATTTTTTTCCCAAACCCTTCTGTTTTTGAGACAGCACGCAGACCCTCCTCTTCGCCCTCGAAGACCATCCCTCGAAGGCCATCCCTGCGAAGACGACCCACCATGGACTTCGCCTGAAGGTATGTCTCTCTCTCTCTCTCTCTCTCTCTCTGCAACTTTTTTCTCTCCCCCTTTCTCCATGTCCATTGTATGAAACCCTAGACCGCAATCCCTTTCTTTGAAACTGTGAGTTCACGTTTGTGAACTCACTGGGTTTGTTTATAAAAATAGGAAAATATATTTGGTCTAATGTTGGTTTTTTTTGTCTTGGGTAGTCTAAGTCTCGACTAATCCCATTGAGTATATTTGATTTAATGTTGTTATGACAAATTCCAAAACCCTTGTGTAAAATTTTGATTGCACTGAAAAATTATAAAAAGTAAAGTTGGAGGAAAATTAGGGCCATACCTGGAGATAGAATTGATTTGAGAATATTGAGTCTTTTAAACAGATTGAATCTTCATATGTAATCAATTTCAATTTCAGGGACATGAGCAATCTTGGGCCAATCCTCTCCTATTCCCTTCTCACATCTTCTACTCAATTGTTTGCACCCCTTGATGCTCAGACAGTGTAGTTCAGTGAGATGTTGCATCTCCTTTGGTAGAGATAGCAAATTAGGGCAATTATAAATTTCAAGTCCTTGAAGTGATGTAAGACATGGGAGGACGAACTCTGATACCGTTGTCAAGTTCTCATAACTTCGAAGTTTGAGCTGATTGAGCGTGTCAGCAGCATCTTGAAGTCCCTTGGGCAAACTCACCAACCGCAGCAGATCAACCAATGTTAGTGATTTAAGTCTTCTCAGCCCCTGCAAATCATTATCCTCTGAGAATTTGAGAGCAAAACAATAGCTAATCTTCAGATGCTCAAGGGCAGGGAGGTATCTCATGCCAAGTGGCAATGAAGTTAGCATTGGACATAGTTTAATTTCCAACTTTCGGAGGCAAGTGAGTTTTCCTATCCCTTCACCTAAACCAGTCAGTTCAAAACTATCATATAGCTGTAATTCCTGGAGAGAAGTCAACCCACCAATCTGTTTCTCAGGCAAACATGACAGCATTGATGATAAACCCAAAAAACGTAGGTTAATTAGTTTCCCAAAATCTTCAGGCAATTCACATAGTGCTGAACCATAAAGATTTAAATATTGCAAGTATAGCAAGCTATTGCCAAAGCCTTTAGGGAGTGTTTGCATACCATAACAGTACTTCATGTTAAGGTACCTTAAGTGCTTCAAATTTACTACGTTCTTGGATAAGAAATTAAAACGTTGGCCATGGTTGTCTTCAATGTCAGGCCAATTAATTACAAGAGTAGCCAATTAATAGTTAATAGTTTGACGTCTAATAATTACAAGGGTAGCCAATTAATTATACAATAGAGTGTTAGTCCAAGTGGTCATAATCGGCACTTGAGTTTTAGTATAGAGATGGAGTGACATTAGTTTATTGTAATAATCTAACTCTATTAACTTACTAAATGTTCTATCGTGTGACCCAAAAAAAGAAAAAAGGGAAAAAAAAAAAACAATTTAGACCGAGTGTTGAACAAAAAATTCTAAATAAGAAAAAATATATATAAACTACTTTTTTATCTCCCAATTTTAGCCTAGACATTGTCAATGGGGACAATAATTATTTGAAACTTTACCTATGAAAGGTAAGATTAAAATGAAAGTGTAATACAACATACTACATTTGCATAAGAGATTCAGAAGCCATGTGGTTTGCACTGTAGATGATCCCAAGATGATGTATTTCATTAACCAAGAAAGCAGTAGAACCCAGCTAGCTTTGCCTTACTTGGCATTGTTCTCAGAGTACCTTTCAATTGACCCCTGTTACTTTAAATGATTTCCTATGAAAAGTAAATCTATTTATTATTATTATTATTATTATTTACATTTTTTTTTTTGTGTAAACTTAACGATTAATAGAAAAATAAATCATTTATTTCTTTTGTTTCTTTTATCTAATTCATTTTTCTTGTGAGAAAATTTCATGTATGAAAAATAAGTTGTGTTATGTGAATTAAAACTTTAAGAGAATCCAAAGTAATTATGTTAAAATTGTGGAATTTTCTATATTTTCTCAAAACAAGAGGGGAGGTCAATAGCTATGTACCTAGAGTCTTTGTTTTTATGTTTTGCGATATTTTTTTTTTCTCTCATTAAATTGCTTTAAATTGTTTTTTTCCCTCTTCTTTCATTGGAAATGGACTCATTTACTTGGGTTTGGATCCAGAGATTACATGTAGCTCTAAGCACAATCGTATCCAAGAGATTACCTGGGTCTACATGGATAAATCCTGGGTGCATCTTTCAAGGTTTTTTTTCTCAAACACAATAACTTTTAAGCTTTTATATGGTCATTTTATTGGAATAATGAAGTTTGATGTAAAATTATCAAAGTGTCGAAGGATTATCTGGATGGAGCACGCAAGTTCGTAGATATGGCGAATGTAAGGAATCCCGAAATGATCGTTTGCCCTTGTAGAAATTGTCGAAATCTATCTCACCAATTTTGCGAGATTGTGTACGAGCACTTGGTCATGGAAGGGATGGATCCTAAGTATACTTCTTGGTTCCTTCACGGGGAA